CGATTATACCAAACCAGTTACACAAAATAGCGAATTCCAAAAGCCGTTTGAACAGCCAAAAACAAATGACAAGTTGTTCATAGCTTGCCCTTATCAAATGGATTCCAAGTTACAACCTAAAATAGTTATAACAAACATACGATCTAAAGTATCAAAAATTGATGAATTAAGTTCACTAGACGTTTACGAAAAGAAAAAACGTCTACGTAGGATGAAGTATTTATCCAATAAAGACGTAAAAGACATTCAAAAAATTGAAAAGAAAAACGTGGATCTCAAAAACATTATAACTCCAGAGAAAATGAAAGCTGAAATATACAAAGAATTCACTAATACAAAAATAAAAGTAATAGCCGAGAGTACAGATGAAGAAAGTGATTATGATGAAGAAGAATTAAAAGAATACAATACCATAATTAACGATTACGAAAGTACAAAAGAAGATAATGAAAGTAACAAAATAGATTTTTTAGCTGGACTTAATTTAGCCACACAAATTGTATATAAGGGTATGTATAAAGAGTATATAAATTATTAATTATGGCAGTATAGTCAAGTAACGTATTCAATTATTTTCAGAAAAAGAATTAGAACGTATGGAAAGAATTTTAAAGAGAGATTCAATAGCTGCGGCTTACATCGCTGCGGGAAGACTGGATAAGATCTTTAACGACGATAAACAACCCTCAGCAGCCAAAACAACTGCAACCCCTACAATACCAATACGACTGGGTGATGTCAAACCCAATGATAACGAACGAATCAGACATCGAAAGCAAATGTTTTTGTCGCAGTTGAGTTTAATGCAAGTTACACCTAAATATAAAGAAAGTAAGTAGATTTGTTTACGATTCACACGATGTTCACACATCAGGCACGTTTAGAACAAAAAAATTACTGATCTTTTGTTTTCCTAATAAGCTCGTAGCTTCTTCTAGGGTATGGTTTACTGGAATACTTGAGTGGAGATTCGAACCCATGACTGCAAACTGCAAACTCAATTGTCAGAACATAGCCACACTATGCGTATATAATTTTTTTAAATTGTTTTTTTATCAAATTTACAGGTTATGAAAAAGTATGGCGGGAGATTGTGAGAGAAAGGAAACGACGTAACGGCACATTAGAAACGGATCAAATTTTAAAACAACCCAAATTACAAACTGAACCGATAGATTTAGATCCGAACGGCCAGTTACAAATGTTAACTGAAATAAAGAAACATGTCAACGAAAATAATAACCTAATAAAGAAAAAGTTGGATTCCTCTTGTGAGGATGGTGATAGTATACGAATGTTGGCCGAAAAGAACTTTTCAGAGTTAAATCGTCTGTCAAAGATGGTCGACAGAAGTGTAAAACATTTCAGTGGCCAGGATACACGAAAAAGAGATTTAAACCCTGGTTTTGATAGCGAAAACATCCAAAAAAGTACCATACAAATCGAGCAACCATTTCACAATTATCCTAATTTAAATATACCAAATATTTCAAATATTATTTCACTGAAAAGCACTCAGAACCCTACAAATATAACTTCATCGCAAGCTACTTCGATGGACGAACCACAGAACTCCGCTGCTGGAGCTAGAGAAATGTTTAACGAAAATACGGACAGAGTACAAGACTTTAGTTGTCAAGTAGATGAAAGCAAATCTTGGCCGGGAATAGAGGCTATTATAAGTAATTACAGAGAATTTGAAATTGGTATGTAAAAAAAATATATTTACAGCTTACGCGCCGTTAGTTGTTCTGCTACCTTGTAGTCTTGAAGTCATCAACATCACCGCAATATCACTATTATTATAAATTAACTTTTAATTAATTAGTTTTAAAAACATTGCGATAATCGCATAACAATATTATGTTACAAAACTACCGCCAAAACCAGACAACAAACTGTCATCGAATTACCATCACCTACCAATCCAATGTGTTGCCATTGCCTGATCTATTATGAATCTCTTTAGTATTTTTTACCAAATAATTTTTGATTTCAGATCGTAAAAAAGAAATAGATTCTCTGTACAAGCGGAATACAGCATTGAGAGTTGAAGCAGCGCATATTACTCGTTCGGCATCACGTGACGCGGAAAGTGCGCGCTCTCTGTTGGCAGAAAGACATAACCTCGCGTCGGAAGAAGCCCGCGTTTCTCATACGTTGCACAGATTATACTCAATTATTGAACTTGTCAAAAAATGTTAACTTTATTGTTTTAAAATAAATTTTAATACTAAACTGTTATATTTTTTGTTTTAAATTATTTAATATTTGCACAGTATTGGAAATGGTAAAATTGAGAGTAAAATTTTAAATACTTTATTTGGATTAATACTTAATTTAGTTATACGTCAAAAACTAAAATGTACAAAAATAAAATAGCTGAAATAAGAAATGTAAATTGAAAAATTAATTTATTATTAAATTATAAATATTAACATTTGAAAAATGTTTTCAAAATTACTTAAGTCAATTCATTCTAGGTAACCTGTAACTCTAGTCCAAAATATAGGTCTAGTCAAATGTAACTACTAAATAAGTATGACCATCAGTACCTATAGGTAAACATATGTTTTTCCAATGTATGTAAAGATGTTTTATATGTACAATAATCAACGTTGTACATAAATGGATTTAATAAAATTAGAATTAGTTTTTTCTAGTAAGATATATTACGTAATTTACATTTTATAAACAGCTTTCCTCTAAGGAACAAAATGTACTTATATTTTTTTTTTTATATTTTGCAAAGAATATAAAACGCTTAAATAATTATGTTGCTCTTTATTTGTACAAGTGTTAAAATGTACTTCTTTATAGATGCAATAAAACGTTAAGAATCGAAGTTTTAATTTTATTTAAAAATGAGAAATAAACCTTTACTTACAACACAAAAATCATTTTTTATTTAAAAAGATTTTTATCAATTTTTTATAATTCATAAAGGCAAAATTCCCATGGTTCTTCTATAAATCTTTTAGATCGTAATTGATATTACCGCCATCTATCGATTTTTTCCATAAAAACAATTAATAGCTTTTATCCCAACAGCATAAAGCAGTTCCGATTATTATAAACAAAATGCCAAGGATTGAACCTGGAAAGAACAGAATTACCGCTTTATCGTAGTTTCGATCTAGTCTAATTATTTTTTTCTTAATTTCAGTGCAACTTAAAAAAAATAAAAACTCAAATTTTACCACGATCCAAAGGTTCCTCAGCCCCAACCATAGAGCCAGTGACAGCTGTAAACGCGAACGCCAAACTGTTAGAAGCGGGCACGGCCAGAGACAGTGGCGCCCTTTGTACTGCCATCAGATACACCAACGAACCACATTGGTTCACCAAAAACGGTACCACGTACTAAAAAAGTGAAGACCTTTAGAAGTATTTTACGCGATTAACACGTTAGCTGCCATGTCGGACTATATGTCCGACAAGCTAATGTTTCAATCAGGCCGTGTCAGAATATGTGTCCGACAAGCTTCCATTCAACACCTCGCTGTGGCTTGTCGGACGCTTTTTAATCGAGTTGTTATACAGCGTGACCCGAAGGCTCCATAAAACTTAGAAAGTCAATTTTTTTCGTTTTTTGAAAAATCATTGTGGCAGCTAACGTGTCAAAATCCTAATTAGTTCAAAAATAGGTAAAACGTACCCTCCAATTACCAAGAAGGAAAATAATTTCAGCGTAAGCCTGACCGAGCCATGTCTCCGCTTTAACTGATCGTAGACCTTTTGTACCCTGACGGATGAAAGGATTCGTACATCCCCATAGTACTCCTGTCACCACCAATAACCCTGCAATAGAAAGTGAAAAAGAACAACCCTGCGACCAGTTAAATATTTAATTTGTTAACACCCCTGAGTACCATTAATTGATTAATAACTGTCGTTACAAATTGTTTTTTTTTTTATGTGGAATAATTTAATTAGAAACATAAGGATATCAAAGAAAAAACTTTTCATTTTCAAATATATTGTAAATATGAACTGTATCTCGTTATAACTAATTATTTTATTTAAACTTAGCACCATTTGAAATACATAAGACAATATGTAAAAATAGAAGTGACTCATTTGGTCATGTGTATAAGAATATAAAAAATATCACGCAAATTTAAATAACCTATTATTCTTTCTTAAAATGCTATTTTACATAAATTCCTACATATATTGTTTTGTTTTACATTAAAATTTGTAATTTCATATGTAAATAAGTGAAAATGTAAAAATGTTTTCTCAAACCTAAAAAGTTTATATAAAAGCCAAATAAAAATATTACATAACAAAGCATATATAAAAAATACACGTATAAAATTTACATTATTTCTATTATGTTTTACGGAAATATAAATATGTATTTAAAATTATTTTAAAATGCACATAATACTACAAATTTATTATTTACCAACTCTTAACTTGCAATAATGCACAACATTTAAAACACTGATAATTAAAAGACAAGTCTCATTTCATTAAAAAAATATTTAAAATGACTTAGTCAGAAGGATAAATAAAGAGCAAATTTAAACATTGTTTAATAATTTGAGTAGAAATTCTAATTAAAAATTAACTGAATAATTTAAATTAACCCTTATTCATTTTGTATAGTATAGCATAAATACAACTTTATAAAAATATACAATCACAATAAAATAATTTTTAACTTAGTTTTTTTTAACTTTGATTTTTGCTTTTCTTCAAAAAAGAAATCTTGCCACACACAATAAGGGTTAAATAAAATAAATATACGACTGTTATTTCTTTGGTTTTTAGGATCCAAATTATGACTAAGAGACAATTTACAATCTTAAATCAATCATAAAATTGAGCAATACAAAGATATCTATTATCCAAAATAAACATTAACAATCCATACCATGTAAAAATATATCAATAAAACTGTACTATAAAAATCTTTTAAAAGCAGTTATTCATATTTTAATAAAGTCTTAAAAAATAAGCATAATAATTCAAAAATTGGAAGAATATAATATAAATAATGTTTTTCATTATTCTCCTAACGGAACTCCAATGGTCATAGGTTTAACATCAGAGAATAAACAATGATTTTCATCTACCCACTTTACAAAATCGTTATTAAGCGCTGCAGATATTTCTAAAGCCATTGTACAGTCATTTTCCGCACGATGAGCTTCAATGCCTACACGATTTAATACTCTCTCGTAAATATTCTTTAATTTGTAACTGTCTTTTGGCTTTGCACCACTCCATGGAAATCTTCTACGAACTTTTGATAGCTTCTTTCTGTCAAGTTTTCTTGTTGTCTGATCAGTTTTAATTTGTTGTTGCTTTGGTGTTGTTTCGTTGATCTTTTGCATGGAAATTTGATTGTTTATGTTAAACATATTTGTATCATCAAGACATTTTTCTATTTCACTTTTAATTATCTGTTGTTTTGGTGTTGTTTCATTAATAGTTTGCATTGAAAGTTGATTGTCAACATCAAAGTTTTTCTCATTCAATTGTGGGTTTATTATATTTGAATTTTCTTTGATGAGATCTGAAGTTTTTTGTTCCAAAACTTGCGTATTGGAACTTTTCACTTTTTCTAGGATATCATAAAAGGCATGCAAACAGTCAGCACATAAAAGATCATCAGTAAATTGAACTGATAATTTCTCTAAATGATTTTTAATAATAGGAAAATCGAAATTATGTCCATTTTGAGCGATTAAACACACTGGTTTAGTTAGAATATTAAGAAATGAGTTTACAGTATTGAAGGCATTCTTATCAAACTTTGTTTCATGTTCGAGAAGGTCATTACAAAGACCCGTTGTAGCTGTACTACCCGGATGTATCATTCTACATGGATTGAAACAAAGGGTAAGCTTGTTTTGAACCCTAGGCGATGCGCCGGCAAGTGTCCTTAGCAAATGTTCTCGCTTTACAGCGACCATGCTTAGTTCCGTAATTTTAGTGCGATTGGTTTCCTCGACAGGCAAGCCAGTAGTTTCTAAGTCTACAAACACGTATGTTGCTACAGGTACCATTATTAAAAATATAACTTTGTACTTAGCTTACCTAAGCTCACCAACATAACAATAAATGCACTAATTTGGAGACAATTTGATTATTAAATAATAAACATATCAAAAATTACGTCGTACAAGTTTATACGTGATTACACTTGTGAATCACCTAACTTGATTAAATAAATAAAAACTGATAAATAAAGTGATAAGCGTCGCTTAACGTTATATGACAGTGACAGTTGTTAAAGACATTAATGGACCAGTGTTACCATTTATCAAATAAAACTACCAAACAGTAAAATCTATTTCATGGCGGACAGCTACAAAGGTAAGATCACAATATTCCATCTTTGGGGTCAAATAGTACGTATTACGGCCATTACATCTATTTAAAAATGATGTTTAAAATGCGAAATAAAACAAAAATAAATACAATGCGTCTTTTATTTTGTCTTTTACGAAATCTTTAAATACTATAATCAACATTGGTGCAATCATAAATACGTAAATAAAAACTGTAAATAGTCCAAGTCGAGGCTTAAACTAATTTTAGATTAAAATACAAATAAGTTAAAAGTTACACACAAAAACACTTTAATAGTAGGTTTTAAGACATTTATGTTTTTGTCAAAATTCTTTCTTGAAACATATCCTATTTAATACAAAAAAAACTTAAAAAAAAGCACTGACACTACCAGTTATTGACTTTACTGATACAAAAAACTAACCTAAAAACTAACCATTTGGTAATTTACTAAATATCCTTATCTTTAAAATAGTATAAGTTAATAGAGTGCTACATACTATAGTTATGTAAAATTCCACCACTGGTTAATTCAGACATATAAAATGTAATATAAAAATGATATGACCAAAAATATTACAGATAAAATTATTATCCAATATTTCTGAAGCCAATTTCTCTCATCTTTATTAACTACAACCTTCTTTTCCTTATATTTCTTCTTTTTGCCACTCAATTTCCACTCATACTCAGCTAACTCTTTTCTGTTTCTTTCCTCCTCCAACTCTTTTAGTCTCTTTGCTTCTTTTTCTTTCTCTTTCTTGACTGCAGCTTGTTTTTCTTCACAACTCTTATCACAAACAACTTTAACCTCCTTTTCTTGAACTGCATTACAAGGAGCTTCCTTTTTCAAATTGCCACAAGCACAATGGACTTTAGTTTTCTTCAAACATATTTGGTTTTCACTACACTTATTTGTATGGCAAATTTTCTTACATCTATGACCACATTTTAACATCTTTGGGCATTGCTGACCACAGCATAGCATTTCTTCAGTACATGTTGACAAATTTTTACATCTTATATATAGTTCAGTCACACCACAATGACAACGAATTCGTTCCATTATGTCACAAGGTGGGCAAGGCCCAGGATGACATTGACTTATAGCACATTTATGAGTGCATTTTTCTGGACGGTCTACTAGACATTCTTTATCACATGGCTTGCAAGAGTAAGGCACATTTGGATAATCAGAATTATAGCCATATAAATGACACATTTCCGAACATGTGTGGTTTAGGCACTTTAAAAGATGGCCACATTCTCTCCCGCATGGTTTTCTTGATGCAGAGTGACATGGCTGGTTTGTCACCTCATGCTCACCAAAACAAGCAATTGCTACAGGTTCCTCGCATGGTGGACATTCTAATGTCATTATTTTAGACTTTGGTGGTTGTATTTCCCATGGAGTAGCAGGTTTTTCTACCTGCTTAAATACTACAGTCACAAATTTATGACATACAGCTTTACATTGGTGACCACATTTTTCATATGTCTTGAAACATATTGCCTTACAAGGTGGGCAGTCACCAAAATGGCATAAATGGTGATTATCATCGGAGTGACCACATTTATATTTAATTTTACAGGGTAGACTACATTTTGGTGGTTTCATATTCTTTTCTCTGCCACAAGGAACTGTAATATATGTTTCTTTGCATCTGCACGTTATTTTTGACTCTCTAGGACAGGGGTAGCATGGGCCACGATGACACACTGATGTACATTTGTGCCGGCCGCAGTGCAAGGGTTTGTCGCAAAGCTTTTCACACGGAGGGCAGTTACCATTACAGCATTTACGGCCACAACCATGTTTCCCACATGGTCTGGTTCCCCTGCACTTCGTATCACATTTGAACTCTTTACTGCATGGCAGTGATCTTGTATGTGCAGAGCATTGACAAGTTTTTTCAATCATAACAAGGCAAGGTGGGCATGGACCTTTATGACATTTTTCAGGACAATTATGTTCGCAATCATCATGTTTTTTGCCACAAGTTCCTACACATGTTTCCATTACATCTGGGCACTGAACAAACTGTTCATTTGCACCACATGGGCAAGATTTTAATCCAGAATTGGGGCATGAACCACAACTACCGGAATGGCATACTCTGTCACATTTGTGATAACCACAATTAAATGGTTTATTACATGTCTTATTACATTGCCATACTAAATCATTGCATGGACGTTTAATCTTCTCACTTCCACATTGACAGCCTTGGATACTTGTGTAGCTGCATGGAGGACAGTCACCATCATGGCAAATATTTTCACATTTATGAGATTTACATGGCAGTGTATTCTTACATTGACTACCACAGGACCACTTTCCAGCACTACATCTCACTTTTTTATGTTCTTTTTGACAATAGCATGAATCACTAACCATTTGGGGGCAAGGCGGGCAAGGACCTGGATGACATAGTAGTAGGCACTTATGTTTACAGTTGTTACCACTAGAAAGTCTTTTCCCACAAACCTCACCACAAGAATGTGGTATTAACCAGGGGTGGATTGGTGGATTATCAGTTTTGCTACAGAAACAACGATATTTATGTGGTATTTCGTCCTTGGTGTAAGCCTGCCGACATTTTGGACAACACCATTCAACTTTCTTTGGTACAAATACAGTGATAGGACCATGGTTATCATCGTTTTTGAGGCTCACGCAGTCGTTTGCCCACTTCTGTATGCAAGATAAGTGAAAATATGAGTAACAGTTTTCACAATTCCAAATGGCATGGACTCTTTTAATCGAACCTATACATATAAGGCAGGTAATATTTCGACCGCTAATGGCTTCTTCTAGTAAATTCTTGGTCCGGTTGAGCAATTTTGTATCACCTCCACCTCTCGAGTAGCTCTGGAACACGCCGTCCAGTACGCTAACTTCAAAGGGCTCTTCATCTTCTGATGATAAATTATCCTGCATTTCTTGTAAATGTTTTTGAACATTTTGCTGTAGTTTTGCAGCGGCGTCGCGATATCTTCGAGCCATAATAACCACCTTTTGAACACCTTACTCTGAACATTGGTGAAAATCAAAGTAAATTCACTAACTTTCTATCTTGGTGCGAGCAAGAATTTTATTTTATTTTGACATAAATTTTCTACATGTCGGCATTTGGTTGGTATGACGTTTACATTTTACAGAGTATAAATTTTACTTTTGCAATGTAAAATATGATCTTATCATGAACATTCTCACTTTGAGCTTTCTAACATTTATTTAATAATATTCTCCTTGCTACGTTATACGTAAATATGCATATAAGGATATGCACTTACTATAGAATCATGTGTCCTTAAAAATAAAAATTTATCTTACTAGAGTAACCATCTGTACTGGATCCCTTCAGGGACTGTATCATTTTTAAATCTTAACATGTAAAACGTTAGATATTTCAATGAAATATTAATTACGGTTAAAGTACGCCTTACGGCGACTGTACGTAGTAATATCGTATACAACTGCCACAACAAATCATTTTAATTTCAATACCGTAATCAAGTAACATGACTGTGCTATCAAAATCCAAAAACAATGGTCTAAAATCTGGCTACAAAAAGTGGCTATATCGTTATACTAATGGAAATTTTTTGTGGCACTTAATTTGAAGGTTCATTTTAATTGATATTACTGCCATCAAAATCAAAAAATAAGGGCACCCTACTCACTACTTTCACGAGAGTTCTAGATACTACGGGAGAAATGTCCTGAACGCGTATCATTTAGGCAACATTTTAAAGTAGTACCTTGACACTAGATGTCGTTGTTTTATCAATCATCAATGTATTTAATTTGTCTTACTTAATTTCTATAAAAGATTACGAAAAACCTTAAATTAGTGATTGATATTTTTCGATATGATAAAATGTATCGATAAGGAAAGGATTAGAAATTACTGGAAAAATCTACGTTAGCACGAGAATGGCCCAGTTTCATAGCCACACGTCAGGGTTTTCGAGAAAATACTACTAGCCGCTAGATGGCCGAAGTTGTATAAAAGCCGGTGAACGCGAAGTACGGCGCGTTATTTGTCAATACGAAGACGAAGTGAACAGTAAACGAGAGAAAAGTGCCAGAAGATTTACTTAAACGCTGTGATTTCGTGAAAAATACGTAAAAATGAGATTCTTTGTAAATTCAGTGTTGGTATTATCGACGTTTTTGGCTGTCGGAGTTTACGGTGAGGAGAAATGCTCGCAAAAAGGTAACACGATTTCTGAACAAGACTTCGGGATGGGATTGTCTGATGATATACTGTCGACTATGGTTAGTCCTTGGATGTTCAACAACTACTTCCGACCTTGGAGATACTTGGAATCTCTAACTCGAGACTTAGGATCGACTGTTAAGATTGAGAAAGACAAATTCCATATTAATTTGGATGTACAGCATTTCTCACCTGAAGAAATAACTGTCAAGACCGCGGATGGTTATGTTATTATTGAAGCTAAACACGAAGAAAAGAAAGACGAACATGGATATATTTCTAGACAATTCGTACGGAAATACGCTTTACCTGAAGGTACAGAATCCGAGGATGTTGTATCTCAATTGTCAAGTGATGGGATCTTAATCATTTCAGCACCTCGTAAAGAGATCGATGCTAAAGGTGAGAGAGTTGTACCTATTACAAAAACAGGACCAGTAAGGGCAGATTCCAGTGAGACATCAAAGGGATCATGCACTGGTGATGAAAAATGTGAGTTGTAAACTTTCAGTAATACCAATTGGTTTTTGCGTATGTAAGATTTTTCTTTTATGTAGTTTAAACGTTTATTTTAAAGACTGATTTTTAATAAAATATGTAATATTAAATTGTGTTTCATTTTTAAATTAAACCATTCAATTTTGTCCCAATAATGAAAACCATTCCAAAATTACTAATTTTTTTTCCTGTACAATTGCTATTATTTAACGGCAGGCGCATTTCATGTTATATAGATATAAAAAATCAATCAGCTATTTATTTTGTTAAAACATAGATTTTACACATTAAAATATTGATTTTTAGAAAATTAACCATTGCCAAATATAGTAAAAAAAGGATAGGGACAGGTGTAGGTATACAGAATAACAGAATAAAGACTAATAAAAATAAATAGCTAATTAAAATTAGAATTTTATTCATATTTATTCATTATTCCTTCCACATTGTCATCATAAACACTAAAAAACTTAAAACAAATAATTATTTTGTTAAAATCTGGTATTCAAAGAACTTACAAGCAAAATAAAATTATGTATAATATGCACATGATATAATTATTAAAAAAATATAAAACCAATTCTTAATATTAGTAAATTAAAAGCAAATTATTATATAGTTACATAAGTATGACTAATTTCTAAACATGGTAACATTTATTAAGAAAATTTTACTGATGGCACTATTAGATAGTTGTAATTTTATTATTTCTGATTTATTTTAATATTTGTGTCGATTTTTAGTTAACATTCTATTAAAAATTGTGGACTTTATATACTAAAAATAAGTACATATACACATGTTGTATATCATTATGTACTTTGTACATTGCAATGAAGTTCACAATAGTTTTAATTCCTATGAAGTTTTTTATTTATCTATTTTATTCAAATAAAACATAACAGTTTAAAAGAATGTAAACATGAAATAAAATGTTAAAAGTTCATTTTAATATATAAATTTTGATATTAAATTAAAATTTTTATATAAATTCCAGAATATTCTAATTATGTGCATAACATGACACCAACAAAACTCTTAGTTAGCGAGAAAATACATTAGTACAATTTACACTACACATGACGTCATCATATTGAAGTGTCATGTTATTTTACATGTGTTGTTTTTATAATCTATTTGTAGTTTATTATGAAGTACAAAGCGAAGTGAGTTAATTCTAAATGTGGCATTCAAAGTGTTAACGTACACGCGTGTTAATTTCCGGTTTTTTATTTTTATTTGATAATTTAAACCAGCCAGCTTTTTTATTTTGATCTTTAGGCATTGATATTGAACGGGAAACTCTTTCTCTTTCATCTCTGTTCAATATTTCGTTAGATTGACTCTTTTTATTCTGTCCTTTGCGAGATATTGTACTTTCGTTGGCACTTTCTTTGCCATTTGCATTTCTTTTATTACGATATAAAGTTGTACTTGAACTTGTTAAACGATTTTGACTCTGTGGTCTTCGATTCAAAGTAGTCTGACTGTAAGATTTGTTTTTCTGTAATGTAGGTCTGTCTTCTGTCTTTGTGGTCTTTTTGTACGTCTGCTTGGTCTTTTTAGGTCTTTGTTCGTAATGTACGTCTTGTTGTTCGCTGTAATGTTTCGGTGTCCATGGCGCGAACAGTGAGAAGCTCTTTGTTGTGCTGCGAACTTGAACATTGGAAGACATTACTGATGATACGTCATCTCTCGAACGGTTGCGGATTAACTGACCAGGGTCTGGGATGTCACCAACTGTGGTTGAATAATAATAAGTGCTTTAATACAATAAAAGGAAAGATTTCTTTATTTCTTCTATATCAAAATAATATAGATTCTTTCGCCAATTGAAATTATATTTAATAGTAGTGGTCGCACACGACTTTGTCTGCGCTGAATTAAAAAAACCTTAATTAGTAGCCTATGTGTTCTTCCAGACTATGTTCTATGTCTATGCTAAATTTTATTGAGATCTGCTTTTCTGACAATACCTTCAAACAAATATCCATCCATGTCAACTTTCGCATTTATAATATTAGTAAGATGGAGTAACTTGGCTGTACCCCTTTTTTGCCCAGCAAGTTTGACTAGAAATTCTGTTAACGGCAATAACAAGGTAAATATGTTTTGAAGATTTAAGGAATTTATATTCAATGTATGTTATATGTTAGATATTAATTTAAATATACGTTTTAATTCTATAATGAATTTTCTATCATCATTATCTTTAAATTTCGATTCCAATTTATCAAACGTGAAAATATTTGATTGATTAAAATAATCAGAATCAAAGAATTTTGATAAAGTTTACATATTTTTAATTACTACATATTTTTTAAAATAACTAGTGAATACTAGAAACATATTTAAGACTAGGTTTTTAGACTCTGTCCGCGCGGAATTAAAAAAACTTATTAAGAAGCCTATGTGTTCTTCCAGACTACGTTCTATTTAAGACAAATTTCATCAATATCCTTTTATCCGTTCTGGAGATACCTTCAAACAAACATCCATCCATCTAAACATTCGCATTTATAATATTAGTAAGATTTTACTCCGATTATTTGCTCCAATCTTTTGTCTATAACTATCACAGTGTAACTTTAAAAACTCGTACGTTTGGTTCATGATTTTTAGGGTAAAGTACATAGTTATTGTCATAGAAAATTATAAATATTCCAGCTTACCAGTAGTAGCGTGCAAGTAGACAACGCTACGTTGACTCTGATGACTGGACTCGCCCTCCGTACTACTCTCTCCGGAATTAGTTAGCGGAGTTCGTCGACGAGGTCTGGAAACAAGCATAGTTCATTTCATAATTATTTATTTATTTTACAACTGGAAAACTATTGATAATAATAGTTATCGCATATGGATAATAAAAATAACAGTATAACATGGCAAAGAGAATAGACAATTTTAGAAAAGGAAAAAAGAAAAACAGAAATACAAGAAAACCAAGCGGCTAGTGAACTGGACAACCAAAGTAATCGCTGTTCATATCGTTTACAATGTCAACAAGCCTAGTATTAAACAAGTCGATGTAAGAACTTTTCCTTGATATTAAATTATTTCTACATAACATTTCGGAAAAACAAATGATATTTATATATAGTGAAAATAAATAGTCGATAGCGATTACTTAAATGTCTGAAAATGGCCAATTAATTGCAAATAAAATAGGAACTTTAAATTAAGAAAATACTAGATCAATACTATCAGTGCGTCGATGGTTCAGAGGTTAAGCATTTCACTTATAATCTGTAGACCCTGAGTTCGAATCCTACCATGTACCAATGAGTTTTTCTATTTACATATGTATATTTATCCGACGTTCATACGGTGAAGGAAAACATCGTGATGCTGCACATATCTGAGAAGATCAAATATATATGTGAAGTCAACCAGCACTGGACCAGCATTGAATATGGCCTAGTCACTAACTTAGGGCTCCGAGTCCCTCTGTGGGGATGAATAGCTGATGATGGTCTATTAAAAAACGGTATTAATTTCAACTTACTTGACATCTCTGCTTATTTCATGTTTACTGCTTCTCAATTCAGAAGAACTGCCTCT